GGATGGATGGATGGATGGATGGATGGATGGATGGATGGATGGATGGATGCATGCATGGATGGATGGATGGAATGGGACAGATGGGCAGGAGGCAGGCAGATGGATGGGTGGATGGCTGTGCAGCTGAGTGGCAGGTTGCAGGGTGGCCGGCGCCTGCCAGCAGGGATGAATGGACGGGTGAAGGGATGAATGGGGCCGTGGGGGCGGTGGTACCGGGGGAGGACGGACAGACGGATGGGAGGGAGGGTATCGAAGGACACGGGGCTGGCGGGTCGGTCACGCGACTAAGGATGGACCCCAAGTTCGGGGGTCGTAGTCCCGGTGACCCCACGGCAGTTCCTGGCCCGCCCCGCCCCCGCCGACGCCCCGGAGGCCGCGTCGGTTCTCTCCGCTCCGCCTCCCGCCTAGAAGGACGAGCGGGCGCTGCCGAGGTGACGGTAAGCGTGCAGTCCTCGGAACCAGCCGAGCCGGGCCGGGCCACGGGGCTCAGCCTCATCCGGGCTGGTCGCATCCCCGCCCCGCCGGGCCGAACAAGGGCGGAGCCGCGGCGATGCCACTCCCGGCGGATGCGGGCGGGCGGCTCCGCGCCCAGCAGGGCCGAACCGGGCCGGGTCAGGAAAGCGGCGGCCGGGATGCTCGAGAGGGCGGTGGGGCGTGCCGGGTAGCGGGTGCCCCGAGCCCGACAGCGACCCTGAGCGGCGGGGCGGGGCGGTCCCGGGGATCCAGGAAGACTGCGGGTCGCGGTGGAAGCAGAGGGGCTCGGGCCGGAGCGTGAGATGCTCGCGGCGGTGTTGGGACTGCGGGGGCCGAGCCTGGGGGCTACGTGTGCTCCCTCCACCACGTGCGTGCCTCACCATGTGCGCGCCCGCATGGCTGCGGGAAGTTCCAGTCGCGGGGGCTGTCAGGGCCGCCTGCTGCGTCATGGGGCTGCGTCTTCGCCCAGTCCTGGGCACCCGCACCCCTCCCCGGAAGCTGACGGGGCCGGGAGGGCTCCAGGTCCACTGGATGGGGCAGGATTGCGCTCAGCATCCTGCAGCCCAGCCATACAGCAGCCCCTACAGAAGCTCCGTCTCCTTCCTGGGGAGACCGGTGGCACACAGCGGTGGCGCCAGGCAGGCAGCATTCCTCTTCACCACAGATCTCCTGTGCCACCCCGGCTCGCGCCCCCAGCCCAGCCTGCAACCTCTGCTGGGACAGCTATATATAGTGCAACCGCCCCCCCCCCCCGACCTCGGGGCTGAGCCATTGCCATCTGCCCAGGTTAATCTTTAGCCATCCGCCCGTCCCCCATCCAACTAATGAGGCCTCATTAGCAGCCATTACACTGACTGCAGGGCCGCTGGTGTCACCAGCAGGACCTGGTGACATAGTGATGCTGTGGTGCAGGTGTGGGTGGTGGCAAGTGCTGGGGTTTCAGTGTGGTGTGTGGGGACATGACTTTAGCGCCTGTGGCAGCCAGCTGCAGGTCCCTTGTTTGACACTGGTGGAATGTGCTGGGTTCCCCACCAGTGTCTCACTGCACCCAGGGCCTGTGATTGGGTTCCCAGGGAGGTGCCAATGTCCCCAAAGGGTGTGTCAGCATGCCTGGCACCGTTGGAGGTTCCCTGGGGATATGTCGTTGTCGCCAGGGGGTATGTGCCATTGTCCCCAAGGTGCGTGCCAGGGTGCCTCGTAGGATGCAGGTGTGTGCATCAGGCCCCTGGGGGTGTGTCATTGTCCCCAGGTGCTGTGGTCCTAGCAACAGTGCCAGCACCCCCAGGGCTGTGCCTCCACGCTGCGAGTTGTACAGCATTCTCAGAAATGCACCAGATCGGTGTGCCAGGCCCCGGGGGGTCACGCTTACGGAGGTTGCAGGTCCCCAGGACTGAGTGCTGCAGGGAGATAAGGAGGTGGTGCTGGGGAGGGAGAACAGTTCTTTGCCTATCTGGCGCCAGCAGCCCTGCCCTCCCCCCCCAGTGATCCCAGCAGAAGTGCACGGTGCGGCCGTGTGCCTCAGGCACCCCACACAGGGATTCAGACCAGGGTCCAAACTCTGCTGCTGCAGTGGCACCAGGGTACAGGTGGGTGTCATTGGGGGGAGCTGCCCAGGGGATAAGGGATGGAGTAGGGGCCGGGTTGGCCTTTGTCCAGGTGGTTGGTCACATGCAAAATGAGGGACTGTGTGGAGAGGGAGGGCTGTGACTTCCCCACTTGTCCCCGGCAGAAGCAGCAGAGCCCCGTGCCTGACAGCATGGCGGGGGGTGCGGGGCGAGCCAAGAAGCTGGGCACTCTGCTCTCAGGGCTGCTGGAGTGCGGTGCTTTCTGCGGCATCATCTTTGGCTGGGCCTCCCTCGTCTACGTCCTCAAGAACCTGGGCTACTTTAAGCAGTGGTGCGAGTCCTCGGCCAGCCTCAACCCCAATGGGACGCTGCATCCCGGTACGGCCCCGGTGTCACCATCCCTATCAGTGCTGAGTCCTTGTCCCTGGTGTCCTGGGGGGGCCCTGTTCCTACTGGTGTCCTGGGGGTGCCTCCCATGTTCCTACTTTGTGGTGCACTTCGGTGCCCCGGGTTCCTGTATCCCCACTGCCCCAGTGCCCATTATTCCCACTGGCTCCCTGCTTTTCCTGTCCCCAGTGCTGCCCCTTTTCCCCACTCCCCCCATGCCCGTGTCCCCTGTGCTGGTGCTCCTGTCCCCACCGATGGCTGCCTTGCAGACTGCAGCGGGCAGGATGAGCAGTTCTCCTTGGTCTTCACTATCGGCTCCTTCATGAACAACTTCATGACTCTCCCCATGGGCTACGTCTTCGACCGCTTTGGCACTGCTGTCGCCCGCCTCATCGCCATGTGAGTGCTGTGGAGGGTGGCAGAGGGACACATGTGGGTGCTGGGGATGGAGGACCCTTTAGTTGGGTGCTGACGCAGGGCTGGGGGAGCGTTATCGGGAGCAGTGTGGTTATCGGGGCTCCCAGGTAGGGTGGGACTGGTGGAGCCCTGCTCACGCGGGGGAGAAGGAGGTGGGGGGCAGCAGTGTTTGTTTCCCAATGCCACCAAATGTCCCCAGGGTGTCCTTTGTTGCCTACAGCCCCCCGGATGCTCTTATTCCCCACTGATGTCCCTAGGGCACCCCTGCAACTGTAGAGCCAGCCTCTTCCCCACATTCCTCCACTTCAGAGGTGCCACATGAGGCCAGTGGTGGGATGCTGGGGTGTTGGAGCACAGGGGTGGGGATCCTGTGCCCCCTTGTGAACACTGTCCCCATGTTTCAGCACCCTCTACACTGGTGGGACCCTGCTCGTTGCCTTCTCCACGCCAGGTGAGACCCACACAGATGTGGGGTGCCCCTACCCCACCCATGTCCCTTGAACCCACTGACACCTGTGTCCCCAGACCAAGCAGTGCTGCTCTTCCCGGCTATGTCAATGCTGTCGGTGGGCGGCATTCTCCTCATCCTCACCAACATGCAGGTGGGAGGCGTCTGAACCCTCACCCCACAGCTCAGGCACCCTGCCTGGCGATGGGGACACTGACAGCATTATGGGGGGGTTCTGTGTGCTAGGTGGGGAACCTCTTTGGGAAGTACCGCTCCATCATCATCACCCTCTACAACGGGGCCTTTGACTCCTCGTCTGCCATATTCCTCATTATCAAGGTGGGCATGGGGTGAGGAACACTGCAGGCACCAGATTTGCCTGTTCACAGCACAGGCACTGAGGTGGGCTGAGGACAGACAGGGGCACAGCTGGGGTCTGACATCTGTGGTGGCCCTGTGCAGAGACCAGTGGCCAGCATGGCATAGTGGCAACCTGTACATGTCCCCAGGTGCTGCATGAGCACGGACTGTCCCTGCGGACCATGTTTCTCTTCATGGCAGCCTGCAGCGCCTGGCACCTGCTGCGCACCATCTTCCTCATGCCCCGCATGCACATCCCTTACCCGCTGCCACCTGCCTACAACTATGGGTAAGGGAGGCCCTGCCCTGCCTGTGCTCCCAGGATGGCAAAACCCATCCCTTAGGAGGTGGTGGTGCCCATCCTGTGGGTGATGGTCATGGGGTCCATTCCACAGGTGGTGGTGGTGGTTATAGCACCCATCTCTTGGGTGGTGGTGGTGGTCATGGCTCCCATCTCTTGGGTGGTGATCATGGCACCCATCCTGTGGGTGGTGATGATAGTCATGGTGTCCATCTTTTGGGTGGTGGTGGTCATGGTGCCCATCTTCTGGGTGGTGGTGGTTATGGCACCCATCTCTTGGGTGGTGGTGGTCATGGTGCCTATCCTGTGGGTGGTGGTCATGGCGCCCATCCCATGGATTGTGGTGGTCATGGTGCCCATCCTGCGAGTGGAGGTGGTGGTGGCACTGGGATGTTGTGGTGATTGACAAGGCGAGTGGTGCTGTAGGCTGTCATGCCCGGGGCGCTCCCAGTCGTACCGCACCTACGAGGAGAAGCGCCCGCCGGAGGATGATGGGCCGGAGGAAGTGCCCCTGGAGCCCAGTGCCCCAAAAGGTGGGGGAGAACTAGGGCTGGGACTATTGGCAAAGGCATGGGTGGGCATGGCCATGCGTGTGATGGGTGCTGGAAAGTGGGGTGCTGGGATGTGGGTGGTTCACAGTCATCTGAGCTGTTGGCCCATGGGTTGGGTGGGGGTTCTTGGTACCACGAGACCCAGTGGATGGATGTGTCAACTGTGGTGGGGACATTTGGGAAATAGGCGTGGCCACGTGTTGTGGGCGTAGGCAGCCTGATGGATGCTTTTGTTCTGTGCAGGCAATGCAGCTGTGGAGCCCTTCTGGCCCTGCGTGCTCTCATGGCTCTTCATGTGGCACGTGGTGTGGCTCTCAGTCATGCAGCTGCGCCACTACCTCTTCATTGGTACCCTCAACCCACTGCTCGACCACCTGGCCTTAGGCAATGAACACCTGGGTAGGGCATGGTGGCTGGGGGGCACAGTGAGCCAGGCAGGGGGCTGGGAATCGGCCCTCTGCACTGACCCTGCCTCTTCACAGTGAGCATCTACACCAACGCCTTCGCCTTCACCCAGCTCTGTGGGGTGCTCTGCGCTCCCTGGAACGGCCTCATTCTCGACTGCCACAAGCGGAACAAGGCCCACCGTGCTGAGGGTAACTGTCCCTATCCCCCCATCCCTCTCTTGGCGCACTGGAGCTGCAAATGTCCCCAACCCCACTCTGCCTGGGACATGCTACCACCATGCTCTGACCCTGCTATGCCTGTAGTTGTGCCCCCATAAAGCTCTGACCCCCCGCTGTGCCAATGGATGTGCTGCTACAATGGCTGGATCCCACCACATCCATGAACATGTCCCCACCACGCTTTGACCCCGTGAACAGGTCCCCACAATGTCCTTATCCCACCGTTTCCACAAAAGTGTCCCCATGATGCCCCAACCCCACCGTGCCCATGCACGTGACCATAGCACTCCCTGTTCTTCCCGCTCTACCTGGGGACATGTCCCCACTGTGCCCTAATCTTGCCATGCCTGCAGGAGCCCAGGGGGCACTGGCTGACCTACGGGCATCCGTGCCATCACTGGTGTTGACAGTGACGCAGTGCGTGCTATTCTCCATCTGTGCTGCTGTGCCTATCCTGCCTGTGCAGTTTGTCACATTCGTGCTCCAGGTGATCAGCCGCTCCTTCCTCTATGGGGGCAACGCCGCCTTCCTGGCCATCGCGTGAGTCCTGTGCACCTTGATGTTGGTGATGGCAGGGGAGGGAGCAGTGGGGACGTGGGTGGGTAATAAAGCAATAGTGAGGTCAGGGTGGAGGGGGACAGTACAACGGTGACAGGGGATGGTGGTAAAGGAGGGGGTGGTGGCGTGAGGGTGGAGGTGGCATGGTGATGGGCACAGTGGTGACATGCAGGTTGTTCTGGCAGGTTTCCTCCACAGCACTTTGGGAAGCTCTACGGGCTGGCCATGGCCCTGTCGGCACTGGTGGCCCTGCTGCAGTATCCCTGCATTGCCCTGGTGCATGGAGCGCTCCAGGGGGACCCTTTCTATGTGAGTGCTCCCCACAGCCTATGGATACCCCATAGCCCAGGGGGGACAGTTCCATGGTGGGGTGGTGGTCAGGGTCCATGGATGAAAGGAGGTCCCAGTGCCAGTTTGGATGGGGCTCCTCCCCCACGTGGGGTTGGAAACAGCAGACAATGAGAAGATGGAGTCTATAGTCCATGGCAGGATGGGGCTTATGCTATGGGGGGATGGAGGGCCTGATCTAAGTTTGGGTGGAGATGCCGGCCTATGAAGGGCAGGAGGTTCTGCCCTGTGGTAGCCTGGGGGCACGCTGTGCTGGGGAGAGATGCTAGTCTGTAGTACCATGGTGTGGTTTGCTACTTCAGCACAGGCAGCCTTTAGGGGGCTGAGGAGCTGGCCCCTTGTCTGTTTGGGATCAGCCCCCGGTCCCATGCCCTCAACACCCATCACTCCACCACAGATGAACGTGGGGCTCATCGCCGTGGTGCTGCTGGCCTACGTCAGTCCTGTGGTGGTGGCCCGTGAATGCCGGCGACGTGCCAAGGATCTGGAGGCTGCCTCAAGTCCCCTGGAGGCTTCCGCAAGTGCCGAGACCCCCGCCCAGACACCCCATTGAGCCCTGCACTACCATCCAGCTTTTTTCTACTGGACTTTGGGGGAGGGATGGGACTGTGCCGGGGGGCACACTGAGGGGTGGGTGTGCTTGGGATAGAATAAATATTCCAAAGCCTCTGCCTGTGGTGCTGCTCCCACCCAGTGCCCCACACCCTTGGAGCTTCTCCAGTATCTGCTGTGGGGTTGAGCCCCATTCTGCCTCCAGTCTCCCCCCAGCCCTAAAACACATGGACATGTGGCCTCAAGGCAGTTTGTGAGGCACTTTACTGGGACAGTGACATGGGCCACTGTGAGTCCCTGGGCACTGGGGAGCCATGGCAGGGCCCCCGGGCACTGTCTCAGTGCTGACAGAGGAACAAGTGCAGCAGGAAGCAGGCTCTACTTCTCCAGAGCCCATCTATGGACAGGACCCATTGTCAGGGACACAGGGAGACCCACAGACTCCCTGTCCCCTGTCCCCGTGCCCCATCTCAGTGTCCCATGTCTGGTGACACACTCCCAGTACCTGTCCCCACTAAATGCCCCCCCACCCATTGCTCCCAGCACCAGAGCCTGTGCCCTGGTGCAGGGCTGTGCTTACCTTTGGGGTTGAACACAGTGCAGGTTCTGTACCATCGGCAGGGCTGCCTGCTGGCCCAGTTTGCATAGTTCCAGGAGCTCAGGTCCTCCCAGGATGTCTTCCATGACCCACCCTGTGGCAGCAGGGCTCAGCATCCTGCACCCACCCCTGGCCAAGCCCTGGATGCTTGCTGGGTCCTGTTACCTTGCAACTGGTGACAGCCCTGATCCAGAGGTTGCAGTAGGTGTACGTGGCTGCCAGCTTCCTCAGCAGTTTGTTAGTGGTTGTGATGCGCACCAAGGCCAGCTGTCCCTTGTATATGTCCTGGCAGTAGGTCTGAAGGGCACAGATGACACTGGCAGCGCCCATGGGAGCCTGGCATCCTGCTGACCTCCCCATCCCTCTCAGCTGGGCACGGTTGTAGGTGTGCAATGCCTTCACCACCATGAAGCACCACTTCTCTGCCTGCAGGTACCTCCACAGTGTGCCAGGAGGCTGAGGGTAGGGACAGGCTGGAGTGTCCCCTCTGGCCCCCCACCAACCCCAGTGCCCTGAGACTGGGGACAGGGGTGTCCTTGAGCTGTTCCCATTGTGTCCCTAGTGGTCCCCGAGCTACTCACTGGGGCAGAGGGAAGAAGCCATGCCCAGCAGGGTCAGGACAAGGAGCAGGCCAGGCTACATTGTGGGGAGCCGTGGGGACATGGCAGGCCTGGAGGATCTCTTGCCCCATGGACCTGTGTTCCCTGGGATCATCTCAGGAGAGCCCTTGGCCAGCCCTGATGGTCCTCATGGCACCTGATCTCCCATGCTACCCCATGTCCTTTGTCTCCTCTGGTGTCTCCAGCACCAGCCCTACCCCTCCCTCCCAGCCCTCAGTCCCATCACTCCTGAGTCTCTGACCCCCATCATCCTCAGTGCCACCCATTCCCCGTGTCCCTCCTGCCACCCCCAGCCCTCAGCCACCCCTATGTCCCTCATGCTCTGCAGCCTCTTGCCATTCCTGGGGCCACATCTGGTTCTGTGCCACCCATGCCACCATGCACCTCCCACTACATCCCCTGGGCATCACAGAACTGCATATACCAGATTCAGGGCTGTCTTTCCTCTGTTCCCCAGCTCCAACCCAGCAGCACAGGGCTGTGTCCCCAGTGCCATCCCTGTTCCTGTTCCTGCTCCTCACCTTGGGGCTCAGAGCTTCTGCCTGCCTTGGCCCTTATAGGGATGCTGGAGTCACATGTCCCCTGCAGCCTTGCACCACCCCAGCCCTGGCCCAAGCCACCAACTGCCATAGGGTGGCCTGGAGGTACACAAGGGGTCAGGGGGCCCAGATGCCATCATCCTTTAGGGTGGTCCTGTGTCCATTATTCAGCCACCTCATCTCCTACCATGACCCCTTTCCAATGCTGCCTGTTTCCTGCCACCCCATCCCTAAGCACTGCCACCCTGCCCCACAACCCCGCTACTCCTTGGGGCACAAGACCATCACGGAATGGTCAGGAAAGTGGTTGTGCCCCTTTAGAGGGGGCAATGATTTGCCCAACAGCCCAAAGTACCAATTTGCCATTGCAGCAAGGGTGCTGCTGTCTCGTGCCCAAGTTAGGGGCATGGAGGGTCTGCATTCCCAGGCACAGCAGCATCTAGTGCATGTTAGTGACATCTCCCTGTGGGCTCAGGGCATGGCAAGACACAGAAACAGAGGCACAGGGCTGCCCCAGTGGATGGTGGCATCTGGAGCCAATAGCAGCCATGGGCTGCCATGGGCTCCAAAACTGCAGAGGGAGGAAGTGACCTTGGACAATTTGCCAAACTGTACCTGGTTCCCCTCAGGCCACCCCATGGCAGTTAGTGGCTTGGGGTTGCAGTGGAGCTGGGGCAGTGCACAGTGATAGGGGACATGTGGTTCCAGCATGTGTTCGGAGGCAAAGGGAAGATGCTGGGGGCTGCAGTGGGATCTTGCGGTGGTAGAGACTGCTTCCCCCATCCCAGGTCACCTCATGTCTCCTGCACCCATTAGAGCCCCCCACCCATTAACCCCACACACAGAGGGCACAGGCGTGGGGCTGCACACCAAGGCTTTATTGGGGTGAAGGTTCTCTGCATTCCCTCGGCCGGTTCTGAGGTGAGCCTGAAGGTACTGCTCTTTGCCATTCCTGTGCTGCCTCCATGGCTCCCAGCTCCCTGTGCCACCCTATGTCCCTCACGTCCCTGCATCCCCACCATCGCTCCTGACTCTCACCCCCAGCCCTTGACCCCTTTGTCACCCCTAGGCCCCTGGTGCCCATCCCCACTGCCACCCATTCCTGGTGTTCCCACAGCTACCCCCTGGTCCTCACCCACCCCCATGCCAATCTCAGCAGCTTGGGGCTGTGTCCCCCCACTGTCCCCGTTCCTGCTCACCTTGGGGCTGGGGGCTTTGCATGCTGTGGCCTTATAGAAGCACGGGAACACGTTACACTCACACCCCATACACCTCCCCTGTCCTGTCCAAGTGACAGTGTGGTTAAGGAGTAGGACTGCGGGGCTCTGGAGAGGAGAGATCATGGGGCCAAATGCAGACAGGGACTGCGCCATGGCACCCAGAGCTAGAGGCCCAGGGAGAAGGTGCCTGAGTCAGTGGACTGCTTCTCCCGGCTCTGGTCCCCCAGGGCTCCTGGCACACAGCCTGTGGGGCTAGCAGGGGCTGGGGGCACACTGGCTTCTGGCACCTGTGGGACAGGGGATGGACATGAGGTCACTCCCTGTTCCATAGCCGTGGAACCCAGGGTGCTTAGGGGCTCTGGGATTGTCCCTCCATAGGGGTACCCAGCAGCCAACTGACCTCCTCAAACTTGCGGGCCTTGTAGTGCTCGGCGCCCTTCAGGAAGTTGAGCAGGATGATATCACACAGCACCGTGCCCTAGGGGGCAACAGTAATGGGGAAAGGGCTGCGGGGTGCCTCCAACACCCCACAGACCTCCAGGAATTAGGCTGCCATCACCTTTTCCATCACCCTGCTTTGTGGCAGTGGGATTTCCCTCCATCCTCCTTCCCACCGCTTTTGGGCATCACCATGGCCCTCAGCCCTACGGCTGTGGGTTACCTGCTTGCCCCAGGGCTGAGGACTGCCTCAACTCACCACGCCGATGGAGGTGAAGGCAGCTACCGTGTTGATGAGGGTGGGCACAATGCCAAATTTCCCAGCCTGCGGGAAGGCAGAGGGCTGAGTCGGCACGGCCTCCACCTATGGCACCCATAGGTCCCTGGGTTGCTGTGTCCATACGCACGTTGCCATACACCAACACGTCGAAGCGGATGCCAAAGGCCTTGGTGAGGGTGCGCAGCTCGGTGCCGTTGTGCCCACGATAGTACCGTGCGTGCCTGCGTGGGACACGGCCGCCTGGCACCCCATGCTCTGCAGCTGTCCGCACGGCAGGCAACCACACGTGGCCCTACCTGAAGTTGTAGCCAGGGGAGCCGGGGCTGTGCTGGGTGACACTGTCCAAGCGAGTGAAGGAGTAGCGGGGCAGGCACAGCTCCCAGGCGCGGTCCAGGTCGCACACCCAGCCGATCTTGATGCCCAGCACCCCGCCCTGCCCAGCCGGCCGTGAGGGCAATGCGTCCTGTGCCACGTGGCCCCGTGTCCCTCCATCCATGTCCCACATCCCCGTGTCCTTGCAGTACTATTTTCCCATGTCCTACATCCCTGCATCCCCACGGCTCACATTGCCACATCCCCACATCGCAAGCCCCTATGTTCCCACACCTCATGTCCCCCATTCCCACATTCATGAACACCACATCCCAGGTGCCCTAAAACTCAAGTCACTACATCCCTTACCCTGTTGTCCTCACATCCCATGTCCCCGTGTCCCGCATCCCCTTGTTCTCATGCCCCGCATCCCACATCCTTTGTGTCCCCAGCTCACGGTGGCAGCCAGCGAGGCGAAGTCCTGCCCGGCGAAGCGTGCCACGTCGCCCAGCCGCAGGATGGGGCACAGCGGCTGCTGCTCAGGATGGAAGCGGCAGCGCTGCAGCTCTCCTGCACTGACCTGGGGAGGCAGGTTGGCCCTGGGGGGGCACATGGCTGTGAGCCTCCAGCAGTGAGAACCCACCCTGTGTCCCCGCAGTGCCACTCACTTCTCGAAGCCAAACAGTGGGAAGCGGATGCTGTTCTTGATGAAGAGGGTGAAGTTTTCAGCCTCCAGCATCACAGGGCTGTGGGGAAAGAGGTGGTGGTCCTGAACGGGGCAGGGGGCACAGTGTTTTTCCCCTCTCCTGCTGCTGCACACTCACACATCGACGGTGTCCACCTCGGGTGGGCACCAGCCCCGGATCTCACAGGTGCGCAGGGTCACATTGTAGGGGACGCAGCGTCCCGTCAGCACCCCTGTGGCAATAATGCGGGTGGGCTCAAGCTCCATGGTTTTTAGGATCTCCATCCCCCTCCAAAACTCACCACTGCCTGTGGTGCGGCCCTTCCCCTGACAGTCACGGTTGGATGCACACCGGTATGCGGTTTCACTCTGCGGAGAGGGGGGGTCAGTGGGTCAGAGGACACTGGTGCCCCCCATGCCACCCCCTGTGTCCCCATACCTCCGGGCAGATGCCCTGCTCCTGATTCTCCGTCAGGATCTGCTTGGTGACCACCACGAACACCGAAGTGCCCTGCGGTGACGGGGACACTATGTCACCACCACACCCCCACTCCCAACCCCATGCCACTTGGGGATTATTGGGTTTATTTGAGATGAGGCTAGGAGGGCTCGGGGGGGTTTCCCACTGTCTCCTGCCTGTGGGGGGGTGACGTAGTCAGCTGTGTCCAGGACGCGGTTGCCATACTTCCCGATGCCCTTCACTTTGGTCACCACCGAGGACTCGATGACAGTGTCCCGCACCTGGTAGGCCTTCTCATGCAGGAACACCCAGCTGGTGGGTGGAGGGGTCAGCTGTGGGGACAGCCAGCTGGCTCCCTGCCACCTGCAGCCAGTCCTCCTGCCACCAGTCCTCTGACAGCCACTTGTCACCCGTCTGTGTCACCCCCTGGGGTTTAGCATGCTCCTCAGCACCCATCCCTACCTCTTCTCCCCGTCATCCATGCCAACAGCCACCCTCCCATCGCCTGCCCGTTGTGTCAACCTGATGTCCCCATCACAGACATGCTGCCAGCCACTTGCTGTCACCTTTCCCTCTCTGCCTGTAGCTGTCATCACTTCTCACAGCCCGGTTCCCACCCCCACTCCAGCGGGCAGCTGCCATTCCCATGACACCCTCCTGACCTCACATCATGCACCCACCCAGTGTCCCCTCTTGGTGTCACCCTCCCAGTCCCCAGCTTGTCACCATAGCATCAGGGATGCTATGTAGACTGGGAGCATGTTCTGCCGAGGGGTGGGGAACACCAGCAGAGGAGTGGGGTCCCGTTGGGGGGGTCTCTCACCCGATGAAGTAGGAGAGGATGAGGAGCTGCACGACCCGGTTGACGACGCCCACCACCCAGCTCTTCACCACCACCGACTTGGTGGTCTCGTAGGAGAAGAAATCGGCCAGGCAGCGGGGCTGGAGGCACGGGGGGGGCATGGGCAGCCGGACGGGGGCACGAGCAGGGGCTCTGCAAGGATACGGGCAGGGATAGAGGCAGTGGGAAGGGATAGAGGCAGGGAGCAGGTCAGGGATACAGGCAGCGGGCAGGGATGCGGGCAGATAGAGGCAGGGATGCGGGGATGTGGGCAGGGATGCGGGCGGGGTGGTGCAGAGGCAGAGGGGTGGGCACAGGACGCAGGGAGGGGGAGGGGGTGCAGGGGGAGATGGAGGGAGGGGGCATGGCCAGAAGGAGGAGGGAGGGGAGGGAAGACGTGGATGGGGGGAGGGGTGCGAGAGGCGACCTCGAGGAGGGCCCCCGGGCGGCGATCCTGCATGGGGTAGCCCCTCTCTGGGGCGCCCTGGGGGATGCTTTGAGCCCTCGGCACTTGGGGTGCTTCCATTTTGGGAGCGGGCCGCGCTGGGGGCGCAGTATGTGTGACTCTCGATTTTAGGGGTGCCTCACACTCGGGGTGCTCCCATTCTGGGCGTCCTCTGTGCCTGCGGACCCCGTGTTTGCCACCTCACGGTGTTTGGAGGTGTCCCATACCGGTGTGCTCCTTTGAAGGTTCCCCTTGGCGAGGGGTGTCCCATTTTGGGATGCGCCCCACTTCGTAGTGCCTTTTTTGGGGCGTACCCCACGTCGGGGCGCCATGTGCTGCGCAGAGCCGCCCTAACCCCCCGCCGCGGTGACGTCATGGGGATCACCTAGCGTCGGCCAATGGGGAGCAGCCCCCCCACTTCCCGGCTGGAGGCCTCCCGCCTCTCTGTGGTACCAGGTGAGAGAGACCGTCGCTTCGGGGAGCGGCCGCTCTAGCCTGCCCACTTTCCACTCCGCTGCCTCTATGCCGAGGAAAGCGCCGCTCGCCTTTAGCCTCAGTCCTCCACGGCGCTCCATCGCGAGGCTCGTGCCGACGCGGCCGGGTCCTCCCTCCCCCCGCGATGGCTCCCAGAGAGGCCGGGCGGCGGCGCTTCTCTATGGCGGAAGTGGGGGCGGGTTCCGGCGGCGGCGCGGGAGGCGGTTGGGGGGGGGGGAGGCGGCTTCGCGCGAGGTTCGTGTTGCGCAGGCGGGAAAAGCGGTGGCGGTGCGGGGGGGGGGGGGGGGGGGGGGGGAATTTGGGGGGCTGGAGGGGGGACAGAGAAAGAGGGGTTTTGGGGGGGTGATTTCGGGGGGGGTGATGTGGGGGTTGGGGGTAGCTGGTGGGAGCGTGGGGGTGACGGATGGGGGCGTGGGGCCTAGGGAGAGGGGTGGTGGAGACTGGGGGGGGGCTGCCAGGGCCTCGTTGTACCCCTTCCCACCGGGACGTGGCAGCCCGGGAAGCGGCGACCCCGGGGAGCCCCGGGAGAGGCTTGATGGGGGGACGTGTTCTTGTGGGATCACGTTCCTCAGGGGGGGTTCACCTCCCCGTGCTCACTCTCGTTCCCCCTTCTCCCTACCCCCCAGCACCTCGCTGCTTGGTGGCAGCAGGGCATGCCGGCCTCGGTGGGGAGCTGAACTCCGGCCTCCTCCTGCCTGCCTGCGAGCCCGGCCCCCTTCGTCATGGCTGACACACTGGAGTTCAACGAGATCTACCAGGAGGTGAAGGGATCCATGGTGAGCAGCACCAGGGGCAGCTCAGTGCTGGGGGCAGCTATCTGGGGTGCTGCCCGATGCCAGAAGTGCTCACCCCCATCTCATGGGCTGGAGGCACACAGCGCTGTGCGGCTCTGAGGCCTGGTCTCAGCTGTACGCCCAGGGGTGCTGCAGTATGCCCCCCCATCCCTGCAGCTCTTCCACTGCCTTGTTCTGGCAGAGCATGTTTTGCTGAGCTCAACTGGAAATGGGAGCTGAGGCGCCTTGTTTCCAGAGCTGAAGCATTTTGGAGCATCAACAGGGGCTTTTAGTAGCAGCCTGTTGCGGAGCTAGCGAGGTTGTGGTTGGGAACGTGTCCAGGGGAAGGAATGCCAGCTGCAAGCGTTCACCCTTTTATGCAGTAGCTACTGCTGGGCAGCTGGGTGCTGTAAATCAGCCTGTTCCGGTGCTTGGGGGTGGGCAGTGTCATGCTGCAGTGATGTTGAGGATGTCTGGGTCACCCTGTGGCATTTGGGAAATTGTTCCTAAATGCCCGATGGAGCTCTGGTACCGAGGCTGCTGGCAACCTGGCTGCCCGAATCCCAGCGGAGGGTGATAAGGAGTGCATGGAGAACAGAAACTGTTGGGTGGTTGGGGAGTTCACTTCGTGTCCCCTGGGAGAGCTTAGCAGCTGTCTGTGCTGTGTGGAAGTTCCCCACCTTGGGCTGCTCCCCTCCATGTGCGTGGGGTGAGCTGCCTGTACCTCACACCTACCTCCCACCAGAATGATGGCCGGCTGCGGCTGAGCCGCCAGGGCGTCATCTTCAAGAACAGCAAGACGGGGAAGGTGGACAACATCCAGGCCTCAGAGTTGGCAGAGGGTGTGTGGCGGCGTGTGGCACTCGGTCATGGCCTCAAGCTTCTCACCAAGAACGGCCATGTCTACAAATACGATGGTTTCCGGGAATCGGTGAGTCCGTGCCATCTCTGACTGTTGCCTGAGCCGTGCTGACCATCCTTTTTTCAGGTAGCTTGTGCTACAGTCTCTTTGCTTGTCCTGTATCAGGCCATGCTGCCTGCAGGATCTGCCAGATCTCACAAAGCTGATCTCCTTGCCTTTAACAGCAGCTGTTGTCTGTTTTTCTCATCATGTACTGCGGGCAAGGTCCCAGTTATGGGCTCTGGGCCGTGCTGATGTGTACATGGCAGTTTCTGATGAGCATTCTGTGTTTCTCTGTTCCTTCCCACCTCATCGCAGGAGTTTGATAAGCTCTCAGATTTCTTCAAGGCACACTATCGTCTGGAGCTGGCTGAGAAGGATCTGTGTGTGAAGGGTTGGAACTGGGGCACAGTGAGGTTCGGAGGTGAGTTGTGGTAAGACAGGAACAGGCCAGTGGTGCTGCTGCTTGGGCAAGGGAATCTGTGCTGTGTGTAGGCCAAGGTGGTGGGGCTGGGTGTGAATCTGATGGCTGGGTCAGCGGCGTTATCCCACCAGCACCCAGCTGTTGACAGCTTTAGATGCTCCTCTGGGAAACTGCCCTGTTTTTAGTGCTGATACAACATGGATGTTGGTCATCCTAGGAAAGCAGGAGATACTTGCAGGCAGCACAGCATGTTCAGCGGGGTAGGCAGAAAATGTTCAACATAAAAGAGAAGTCTGCATGGAAGGTGTGAGCATCTAATAGAGCCTTCCAAATTCCTCAGGGAGCCAGAAGAGCTGGTGGATGTTCCTCCCTGGTCTGAGAGAGGAGGAAGAGCGGAATAAACAGCCTTTTTTTTTTTTGATCAATATAATTCTCTGGAACTATAGCTGAGAGGAGAAAGCCTAGAGATTTGTGTGGAGAACATGGGAGGGGAGGGAGAGGGGAGGCATTTCTGGGTTTTGAGAGAAGAGCGATGATGCTGCTGGAGCTTGGATCTAGGATGGAACTCACCGTGGGTCTGCGCAGCAGGGTGGACCTTAGGTTTTTATCCCTTCCACCTGCTGTAGGGCAGCTTCTCTCCTTTGACATCGGGGAGCAGCCGGTGTTTGAGATCCCCCTCAGCAATGTCTCCCAGTGCACGACGGGCAAGAACGAAGTGACACTGGAGTTCCACCAGAATGATGACGCTGAGGTCTCACTCATGGAGGTTCGCTTCTACGTGCCCCCTACCCAGGAGGATGGTGTTGACCCTGTGGAGGTGAGTGAGGCACAGTGAGGCACACTAGTTGGGTGCCCTCACCTAGTGCCTGACCACAACTCCCTCTCCTTGTAGGCCTTTGCTCAGAATGTCCTCTCCAAGGCAGATGTGATCCAGGCAACTGGTGATGCCATCTGCATCTTCCGGGAGCTGCAGTGTTTGACGCCTCGTGGGCGATACGACATCCGCATCTACCCCACCTTCCTGCACCTCCATGGCAAAACCTTTGACTACAAAATCCCCTATACTACCGTGCTGCGCCTCTTCCTGCTCCCACACAAGGACCAACGGCAGATGTTCTTTGTGGTGAGGAGGGGTGGAGTTGTCCTCCCTTTCTCAGGAAATTGTTTTGAAGGATTTTGGGTCCTCACCTCCTCTTCTGTTTTCAGATTAGCCTGGATCCACCAATAAAGCAGGGCCAGACCCGCTACCACTTCCTTATCCTGCTTTTCTCCAAGGATGAAGACATCTCACTGACCCTCAACATGAATGAGTGAGTTCTTCTCGCCAGCCAACTTCCTTTACTCCTTCCCTGGACCTGGGTGTTGTGGGGAGAGCTAGTGTATGTATTGAATCTCCTTGGTCCTTGTTCTTGTCATTATCCTCTATTTCTGTCACGCAGGGAAGAGGTGGAGAAACGCTTCGAGGGGCGGCTCACTAAGAACATGTCAGGCTCCCTCTATGAGATGGTCAGCCGAGTTATGAAGGCACTGGTGAACCGCAAGATCACCGTGCCTGGCAACTTCCAGGGGTGAGGCATTGTTGTTGCTTCTGGCTGGGTGAGGAAGTGTGGGACCTTCCTACACTAAGGGTACGTGTGGAGGTAGGGGGAGAGGTAAAGTGAGCCTTGTCGTCCCTAGGACAGGAGATTCTTCTTGTTTTTGTGGTCTCAGGCCAGCTGAGACCCCCTCTTGACTCAGATAGCAGGACCAGCATCTCTTTTTCTATAGTCAGGGTGAGGGGGTTTTGCAAGAATTTTACCCCATGCAAGCAGGAGCAGTTGGTGGACTTACCTAAGCTGCTATCTCACTGGGGATGTGCAGAGGGAGGGGTGTTTGCTCCCCACTGGTGTAACATAGCAGTATTTGCCCTCACAGACACTCTGGAGCCCAGTGCATCACCTGCTCCTACAAGGCCAGCTCAGGACTTCTCTACCCACTGGAGCGTGGTTTCATCTATGTTCACAAGCCGCCAGTGCACATCCGCTTTGATGAGATCTCCTTCGTCAACTTTGCCCGTGGGACCACCACCACCCGCTCCTTCGACTTCGAGATCGAGACCAAGCAGGGCACACAGTACACCTTCAGCAGTATAGAGAGGTGGGCACAGAGTGAGCTCTTACTGTAACATTGGGCTGTTCTCTGTCCTGCAATGCAGCTCCATTGCCCCTGTGTCCTCTGTGTTGGTCACACACGGTGGATCTTTACTGATGTAACAAGGTGATCGTTCTGCTCGCTGTGTTGAGAATGCACAGTGGGTGCCAGCGAGCTGGATCCCACCTGTCCCTGACCACCCCATCTCTCCTGCAGGGAGGAGTACGGGAAGCTCTTTGATTTTGTCAATGCCAAGAAGCTGAACATCAAGAACCGAGGCCTCAAGGAGGTATCTGCTGCACAGGGCTGGTTCTCTGTGCCCTGCTGGAATTACTGGCCTGCAGGCTGGGGTGGGGAGATGACTGGGACCTTTTTTCTTCTCTCCAAAATTTTGCTGCTTTTTTTCCTTTTATTTTTTTTTCACCTTTCTTTTCTTTCCTTACCCTTGTAGAGGAAAAAGGTCCGTGAGATACCCCTTCCTCTTTCTCTTCTTCCTCCTCCTGGTGCAGGTTTCCTCTGCATGGCTGTGTTGGTCTCTGACTAAACCCAGTAATTGTAGCATGATTTGCAAGAGGGGCCCCCACCTAACTCAAGTAACATCTTTGGGGAACCTTTGCTGCCCCTCTCTGCATCCCTGATGAGGAGACAGGGAGACAGATGGGACACTGTGTGTTTCCCAGGCTGGCCATGCATGCATGTAGTTTCTAGAGAATGGACTGTATGCAGATGTGGGGAGCATGGAGAGCAGCTCTTACTCTGTCCCTCCTGCAGGGTATGAAGCAGAGCTACGATGAATATGCCGACTCTGATGAGGACCAGCACGACGCCTACCTGGAGAGGATGAAGGAGGAGGGCAAGATCCGGGAGGAGAACGCCAATGATAGCAGCGATGGGTCTGGAGAGGAGACAGGTTCGTGCTGGGGCTGCATCTGAGCCCCCACTGCCTGAGGGGCTGCCTGGTATGCTCAGGCTACTTCCTCGAGTTGAATCCTGCTGCGATCCTTGGTTGTCCATCTTCACCTCACACTCTGTCCTTGCAGATGAGTCATTCAACCCCGGGGAAGAGGATGATGATGTGGCTGAAGAGTGAGTAGGGGCTGGGACCGGACTCTTAACTATGGGCAGCTTTTGGAAGATGCCATGTGTGGGCACTGTGTGGGGTGGGATGGGGCTGTGAGAATGCTGAGGAGTGCATCTGATGCAGACAGTATCGTTGTGAATGGCCTTGTAAGTGGGTGCACTTCTGGTCTGTCTCTCGAGTTCTCTTGATGAGAACTGCAGTCTGAACAAGTGCTCAGGGGCATCATGTGTGCTGATGGGAGTCAGGCTCAGCACAAGAGGAGGGGTGGATCTTGGTGCAGTTCAGCAGTGAGGCGTTGCAAATGCCTAAAGTTTACGGGAACTCAAAACGATCAGCCATGTTCGTGGAAGGAGAGTCCCCTGAGGGCTGTTAAGCACGAACAGAGCGGTTTCAGCTCAGGAAGTCTCCGAACTGCAGGTTGCTGGAGGATGGGAGAGTTCAGGGGCAAGTCCTGCTATGTGCTTGTCACTGCCACAACTCCCTCACCTCCTGCTTCATCTTGCTGGAGTAGAGATCTTGAGCTTTCCCTGAAACCAGGTCACTTCACACAGGTTTGACAGCAATGCCTCGGCCAGCTCCTCCAGTGGGGACGGTGACAGTGACCGAGGTGAGAAGAAGCCAGCCAAGAAGGCCAAGATAGTCAAAGACCGCAAGCCCCGCAAGAAGCAGGTGGAGGTGAGAAGTTGCTGCTGGTAGAGTTGTGGAGATCAGGGCTCACTGCCCTTGGAATATGGATTGCTTTTCCCTTGTTTGGAGCAACACCACAGGAGATCCAGGTCACAGCACATCAGCTGAGCTGCTTCCCATTAGCCTTCTGCTGTGGTCTGATCCGATCCTACCACTTCACAGTGCTTTGCCCAGTTTGGGTTGTCCAAGCCTGGCTCTTCTGCTTCCTGCAGGCTTTTCTTCATCCTGCAAATGAGTCTAGATTGAAACTCTTCCAAAGGATATAGTGGTGTCTGAGCCTGGCAGTACCTTCTGATTGTTGGAGGACTTGCCCCCCACAGGTCCTCCACGTCCTCTCCACCTACTCTATGGGCGCTTTCACTTTTTTGTGTGTGAGCTGACAACCCATCTCCCTGATTAAGTAGCTGAATAATTACTGATGGGATGCAGGAGGCATCATCTTGGGGTAACCCTAAGTCTTCAGTGTGGGGGGTATTTCAAGTCTTGGTTCTTTCCGTTCCCTGCTTTCTAGAGCAAGAAAGGCAAAGACCCCAATGCTCCCAAGAGACCCATGTCGGCTTACATGCTTTGGCTGAATGCCAACCGAGAGAAGATCAAGTCAGACCATCCTGGTATCAGCATCACAGACCTGTCCAAGAAGGCTGGGGAGCTCTGGAAAGCCATGTCTAAGGAGAAGAAAGAGGTGGGTTGCTCTGCCAGTGAGGACTGCTAAGCCAGATTTAGGAAGGGAAGGTGGATGTCAGGAGGCCTGGGATGCTCTTGCTTGGATCTTGCTGCTCCATTAACAGATCAGGAAAGGAGGTTGGCAGTGGGGAGCTGTCACCTCTGAGCTGGTGAGCTGTTGTGTGAGCATGGTCTCCAGGTGGTCAGGGACATGGGTGGAGATAGTGTTGGACTCAGGTAGTGCAGAGGCTCTTGTTGGCGGATGGTGCGGGAACAAAGCGCCACTAACCTGCTTTTGCTGCAGGAATGGGATCGCAAGGCAGAAGATGCCAAGAGGGATTATGAGAAGGCCATGAAAGAGTACAGCGTGGGCAACAAGTCAGAGAGCTCCAAGATGTGAGTGTGCTAAGTGGACAAGGGGACGTGGCATGGCTTCGCTGGAATCTGTCTGTCCTTAGCTGTTGTGGTGGCTGGGCCTCTCCAGGGCTGGGGGGTTGTGAGATGGGACCAGTGCACTGTCAGCAAGGTAATGCTTCTGTCTCTTCCACCCTCCCAACACATGCATAGGGAGAGGTCTAAAAAGAAGAAGAAGAAGCAGGAGAAACAGATGAAAGGGAAAATGGAGAAGAAGGGTGCTGCCTCCAAGTCTTCGTCCTCCACCAAGTCCTCTGCCAAGAATATGAGCGAGAGCTTCAAGAGCAAGGAATTTGTCTCCAGCGATGAGAGCTCCTCTGCAGAGAGCAAGAAGGAGGTAGTAGGGCTGTTTGGTGGTGGGCTTCACTCATTTACCTCATCCCTACAGGCATGTGCTCCTCTTGATAGTATGCACTTCCAGTCTTGTAGTGGAGGACTGAGTTTAGTCTTTGCTATAGGTACAGGAGTAGGTGGAGATGAGCTGCTCTGCTTCTACTGTCCTGACTTCCTGTTTCTTCCCACAGGACTCAGACGATGAGAGAGGCGCCAGCCCGGCCCAAAGCTCAGAGGATTCTGCGTCTGGCTCGGATTAGTGCTGTCCCCGCTGGCTCCAGGCTGGTTCCCAGATCAGCGTGAGGACCGGGTGGGCCGGCCCGCAGGAGGGGGCCTGGCTCTTGGGCTCTGGCTGGCTCCGAACCTGCTTGGCTGCCCTTCCTCCTACCCCTGCTGCCAGGTGAGGGGAGGCACTGGAGTGGGGCAGGAGGGTGCCCAGACTCACTGCCTGAGCCCTTCCCCTCAGTGCCTGGCTACAGAGCAAGGCCCTGTGGAGGGGAGGCCCAGGAGGAGCCTCAGTCCCACCTCTGCCCTGTTTCTCATCAATTTATTTTTTTTAAATACTCGGGTTTGTTTTGGTCTCTTTTTTTCTTTTTGTATTTTGGGTCCGTTCACATGGCAACTCGGATTGAATAAAAAACACCCGCGGCGGGAGTGCGTGTGGGTGCGGAGGCAGGGGGTGGACTGGGCTCCCCTTCCCCCGAGGCACACGGGGTGCTGGGATGCCTTCCTCCCAGCATTGCCTTTCTCCCGGCATCACCTCGGCCTCCTTGAACCACAGCCAGGGGCTGAGCTCACTCGCAGCCCATCCATTAGCAGCCCGAGCCCCTCCTGCGGGCTCCCTAATCCTGTTAGAGCTCCATCAACCTCCTAATGGAGGCCCGGCGGTCGATCCTGATGCCGTGCGGATGTTCTCTGCTCCCTGGAGAGCTGAACCGTGGCTGGGGGTGTCAGGTGGGGGGGGGGCAGGCGGCCCCAATCCCCATTCCATCAGCGTTCCCGCTTGACCCCGGCACCGCGGCCTGGCTGCGAGTCAAGCGCCGCAGGGGAAGGGGAGAGAGGCGAGGGGCGAGGCCTGGCTGCGCGCTCCAGAGCGTAGGGCCACACGTAGGTCAGCGCGGGTTTGTGGGGCCGCCGCACCCCGGGGGCGCCACAGGCCGGGGGTCCCCTCTAGCAACCTCACAGTGGCGCACGTGGGGCCCGAGCGGCCCGCAGCTCGATGGTAGGCGGAGGTGCCACGCGGCGCCGCTCTAGTTCGCCGCTCTCGCTGGTCGGCGGAGGCGGTGGCTCGGCCACGTGGGGTGGGCGCGGCCCGTGGGGGGCGCGGTCGGTGGGGAGGGGGGCGAGGCCAGCGCTCATGAATATGCAGCGGCAGCGGCGGCGGGTGAGCGCGGGTAGGGCGCGGGGTCACGGCGGGAGCGCTCCGCGGGGTACGGTACCGGAGCCGGGGGGGAGGGGCGCCGGGCGCGTGGGTGGGGTTTTCCGAGCACGCGGGTAGCGGTGGGGCTCGGGGTCCTTGAGGCGGCCGAGGCCGTCCTGCTCGCTGGGGCCGAAGCTTGGGCTGCGGAGTGCACAACGGCCGCCTCGGCCTCCCTGCGGCCCCTCCTCGTAAATCGAGCGGGGGGCTCCGTTGCCATGGCAGCGCGCCTAGGCCAGCCCGGCCACTCGAGCGGGGGCTGCGTTACCGTGGCAACGCGCGCAGGCCCCGGAGGATGGAAGGGGGGAGGGGGCACCCCTCTCTCCCTTCCCCCTTCCAGCCCCGTTCCACTCCCCCCCCCCCCCAACCCCCCCGCTTCCCTTCGCCTCGTCACCGAGCGGGGCCTCGTCAGCATCCCGGGGCTGCCAAGGGGTTGGGAAACAGCCTCGGCGGGGGGAGGAGGGGCGGGGGTGGGGGGGGATGGCTTCCAGATGTGCCCCCTCCGGTGCTGTTTGGCCGGGGCGGGGAGTCCAGAGGGAGAGGGGGCCGAATGGGGGAAGTGGGGGGGAAACGAAAGGGGGACCCCGCGCCGCGAGTGGGAAGGGAGGGAGCGGGGAGGAGGTGAGGGGAAGGCAGGGCAGGGCCGCGAGGAGGAGGAGGAGGAGGCACGAGCGAGTTTTTCCTGTCCCCGCAGCGCCAGTGAGTCACGGGAGCCGTGCGGCCACGCCAAACCGGGCCTGGGGATCGCGGCCCGCGCCCCTCCAGCCCCTCGTCCCGGCCATGAGGCGGCTGCGGGGCAGGTGAGGGGGGAGATGACCCTGTAGGGCCCGACGGGGCTGGGGATTGGGGCGTGGGAGCGGGCTGCTGCTGGCAGACTGGGACGGTGAGGGCTGACGTGGTGTGTGGAGGACTTCCGTGAGGCAACGGGCAGCTGGTGGTGGGGGCCAGCTCAGGTGTTGGACGCGGGGTCGGTGAGGGTCTGGCACGGCCTTTTGGGAGGCTCGCTGCATGCGGAAGCCAGCCCGGGTAAATGGGGCTGGGATACACGTGTCTACTGAGGTGTGCAAGGGACCTGCACGGTGTGTGCTGTGGCCGGGTGCTGCCGGCGGGCTGGGGCAGTGTACAAAGGGTGGTGCGGCCAAACGGAGGCTTGGCGGTGAGATAGTGGGTTGGCACGGTGTGTAATGCTGGTATGAGCGAGTGGGAAGCCAGCACCACGATGCAGCACGCTGCAAGTACGGCATAGACTGGGGGCGTGAGGGTGAATGGGGCGGTGGGTCCCAGAGGACAGGGTGGACTAATGTTTTTCAGTGACAGTTCTCCCCTCTCTCTTCCGCAGGGGCTGACTGCACGCTGAGTCTGCTGAGCGTTAGCTCCAGCTTCACCATGGCTTCCCAGCCCCAGTCCCTGCACCCTCCGTTGCCCTGTGCCTCTGGGGGGGCCGGACTGGTGGCTGGAAGCCCTGAGAAAGGTGAGAACTCCCCAGACCTGTTCACGTGTGTTTTTACCCCAAAGTGAAATGTCTCCAGGGGCTGTTGCGTTTCTCCAACTCTCCATGTTTCTCCTCATCTCTCTCCCACAGGCAGTCCTCGCCCCAAGCCTCCTGTCCGGCCCAAGCCCCGTGTGCTGCCCAAGCCAGCTGTACCTGCCAAACCCTGCCTGCCTCACCCTCCACCAGCACCGCGACACTCTCGTCCCGAGCTGCCCTCAGCAGAGAAGATAAACCGCCTGGCAGGACCCCAGCCATACAGTGGGGGCGGCTCTGGGGTGGCCCTCAGACGCCCCTCTTTCACCATCAAGTCACCTGAGACCCCTAACGGGAAGGGGCTCCCATGCCCACCAGTTTTGAGTCCTGAAGACTCGTGTTCAACTGCCAGTGATGAGGTGCCCCTGGCCCCATCGACACCGTCCCGCAAAGGTCCGGCTCCCTTTAAGGTGACGCCAGTGCCTGTGGCAACCAAGATGGAGCGATTTCCAGGCACCACCGTGGAGGAGATTCTGGCCAAGATGGACAGCAAGGAGGGTCCGGGAAGCCCTGACCGGGCCCGCCTCTCTCCCTTTTGCCCCGATTCTTCCTCTCGCTTTGGCTCCAAGACCTTCACTGCCTTCCGGAGACGCCCTAGTGGGGAGGCAGATGGAGACTCCCCTGGTGAAGCCCGCCAACTGCTCCAGCAGGCTGAGGGAGAGCTGGGGACAGGGGGTGACAGATACCCGATGGTAGAGACGAGGTGAGGAGCAGAAGATCGATCCCAAGGATGGGGACTCATGTGGAAGGCATTAGTGGGCAGTTCTAGGGATGGAAATTAATGGAGCTGGAGGGGACCTGAGGTCTGGTCACCAGCGCAAGGCTGCTGTTCCTCCTAACCAACAGTGCCTTGAGCTGCCTTCGTGGGAAGGCTTGGTCACCCGCGACAGCTCTGGTGGTTTATTAAAACCACAAGAATGGGCTGGCCCAGCTGAGGAACTGCCTCCATGCTTGCAGCCGTCTGGGGCTGGAACCTTGCCAGGCAGCACTCCACTGCCCAAGCACGGAATAACAGGGGGTTACTGCCCCTGGGAAATGTTCCCCCTTTTCCCCACTCTCTCTATTTTATTTTTACTAGTCTGCTCCAGAGCAAAGAGGCCTCAGATCTGTGGGACTCCCGGCTGCAGGATGGGCTGGTTGAAAGCCAGCACTTGGCTGTGCTCCCTAAAGCTGGGCACCTCTGGGAGCGGGGCAGGGGCTATTTTAAACCAGAGTGTGAGAAACTTGCACTCCAAAGGATGAAAAACTTTCCAGAAAAGGGGTTGTAGCTGATTTGCCTTTGCAATCCTAACCTACCTGATAATTCAGGGCATGTTTCGAGTGCCCCTTACAGAGAGTTAAGGGCTGATCGTGGTCCTCGTCCAAATCCTTCTGCGGCCAGAGCCGGATGGTCTGGGGTTGGGAGGTGCATGCTTGTGGGAGGAAGAACGGGGCGCACACCATGTTTACCCCCTGCCTGTTTTTCTCTGGCAGCAGCTCCTCCCCAGCCGGCCCGAGCTGTGCCGGGGACCCCTGTGGACTCCAGAGGCCACCATCTCCCCCTGACGTGAGTTCTCGCCGCACCCTCCTGCGTCGCGGCCGCTCCACTCCTGGGCTCTCTCCTTCGGGGCTCTCCTGTCTCCTCCGGGGCTCCCTCTCTGCGGGGTGCGTGTCTCTCCTTTCTCCTTCGGGTGCCAACTGCTCTGGGGAAGGCGGGTGACTCCACTGCAGCCCCATCTCCCTCATTGGGTGCCCAGGTGCTGGGCTGGGCTCTTGGAACAAGAAGCTGAGTTTCAGTTCTGGTGCCGAGGTGGGGACAGGGAGAAGCTGTGAGTCACCAGCTGAGATTTGGTGACGGGCAGGTATGTGGTAGGCGGGCCCATTCCACTTCCCTGCCATGCCCCCTCCCCATGCTCTGGAGTGATGATAGAGACACTAAAGGTGGCAGGACTGCTGTGGAGAATTAACCCTTAACAGCTCTAGTTAGGGTTTAGCCCACCCTTGTTAGGGTGATGCTGTTATGTCTTGAGGGTGCCCAGGCCCATGCGGAGAAGATTGTTAGGGTGGTGGTATTTTTCTTCTTGCTTCAGTTCTTCCTCTCCATATCTGTCTCTGCACGTTGATGGTTGGTGGGCACCAACAGGGCTGCTGAGGCAGAGGAGCAGGGCTCTGGGCACTGCTTGGCCCTGCCCCGAAGGGCATGCAGCTGGAATGGGAACTTCTGGGAGCTGCCGAGGCTGCGTCACACAGGAAGCAGCTCTGGTGCTGGCAGGATGTGCGGGCACCTCTTGTCCACAGGGCTTAGGGGAGATGGGGCTAGGGACTATGATTGTCACCGTACGTTGGAGCTGTGCTGGCAGAGAGGGGCTGAGAACTGTGGCTGGGTGATGCCTGGGAGGTTCCCCTTGAGTGACATGACTCTCCTCCCTGTTCTTTTTCCAGCTCTCCTCTCTCCAGCTTGGACCTCCTGGCTCCCCAAGATCCCCTGCTTGCCCACCTCCAGGAGCTCCTTTCCAGCCTGCTGAGCCTTCTGCCTCAGCCCCTGGTTCCCCTGATGCCCCCTCAGAGCTGCTGGCCCCTGGATCCCCGACCATGGCCCCTGAATCCCCTGAATCTCCAGCTCAGCCTCCGACTGAGGAGCTCT